GCAGAAACATTAAAAAAAAATGTTTTTCTCATTGTGAAATCCAGCTTTTTAATTGACATTCCAGACACCCACCGGTACACACTTCAACAACGAGCTCTGTGATTGGTTTGGCTCATTAGTATTCCTCCTGCTGTGTTCAGTATCAAAAGCACCGTCTTACTCGGCAGAAAGGTGGAAAGGGTCCAGTTCACTCGGCCTGTGTGTGTGTGTGTGTGTGTGTGTGTGTGTGTGTGTGTGTGTGTGTGTGTGTGTGTGTGTGTGTGTGTGTGTGTGTGTGTGTGGACTGTCTAATCAGCAGTTTGGTCCTACAGGAAGTCCTGTGGTCGGCCTCCGGATTTTTTGCCTCGGGAGGGGGTCGTGGAAGAAAGAGAGAGAGGGGAAAAAAAAATCAGCTTTCCTCTGCGTTTTTTTTTTAATTATTATTATTTAGCCGTTTTTAAAAGCCTTAAAGGTCAGCCAAACTCTCTGAGCTCCATTTTCTGAATTTCTTTCCTGGTAGAGCTGGACCTTTCAAGAGCAACATGTAGGTAGCTGCATTGCTTTCAGTAAATAAGGGCTGACTGCAGGGTTTCTGCTCGGTTACGTCACTGGATTATCACTGTTGCATGTTGGAGAAGTAGAGTGATAAAGAGGCCGTTCACTGTTGACTCGGCGGCTTCGCAAGAGAGTGAGATTCTTGGATTCATGGTGATGTCACATTCACAGCCACCCTCCACCCCCCTCTTCTGTCCTTTCCTGCTGCCTTTGGGTCTGTCAGGAAAAATCAGGGCTTCATAAACAGATGAATCTCCTTGACACCATTGTGTTGCATTAAAAATTCACTGTAAAGCTGCTGTTGCTGGTAGGAATAAAAAGAACATGCTGCTTCTGTGTCTTCTCAATGTTTCACTTTGTAACATTTTATTTTTTTTCCTTTTAGTTTGATTTGTTGAGCAGTTTATGAGAAGATGTTGATGTTAGCAGTAATTCCTGGAACCAAAGGCCCCACCGGGCTTTTCCTCTCCTGATGCTTTCGTGTGTGTGTGTTTAGTGCTGTGAAACCGGAGCCCCCCTGTGAGAGCAACACCCTGCAGCCGCATGTAAAAACTATAGGAGCCTAATCTGGCCCTTATGATCTCGTCTCTGTGTGCTCTACAGGTGTGTGTGTGTGTGTGCAGACTCTGAGGCCAACTCCTGCAGTGTAATGACTCAGAACAGAACCACATGAATGTGCTTGAACAGCAGCGTCGCGTTTCGTGCTCCTTCTTCTTCTTCAACTTTGCTTACCTGTTTAATATTTGTTAAAGGAGGAGGTTAAAAAGGTGTCAGTTTAGTTTTGGTGTTGAATCCTTTTGGAGTTTCTTGTATTTCAGGAGGGGATCAGACGAGTTCTGGGTCTCAGCACCTGTTTTTGTGTCCTTCGATGCTCCTGTAAGATTAATTGTTTGACCATTTGGAGGGAATCAATTATTGTTTTGATGATGAAACCTGACAATATTTTCTAAGTCACAGTGAGTTTAATGAAGCATTGTCCGACTCTCTAACGATAATTGAAGATAAAAAGGCAGTAGATAAATATGTGGATTAGTCAAAAAGATGTAATCTGATTGTTTAACTCACAGATAACTTTAAACCTCATCATCCTGAACCTGATGATCGGCTGAATCTTTAACGGTTTCGCGACTCATCTGATAATTCAAATAAGATTTTTCTGTTTTCATCCACGTACTGATGATTTAAAGTATGAGTGGGCGATTATGGACTTAAAATTTTCATCACCATATTTTGCAATATTGTGATGACAATAAAAGTTATGCTAAAAGGAAATATTTATTACTACTTTTTCAAGAAACTGTACATGTATGACAGCATGGTATAAATGCAAGTATTGTTCTCGAAAAACAATCAAGAACAGCGTTTGAAATATAAATCAAATAAGATTGGATTATATCACTAAGTTGAACACATTTAATTATGTTTGAATTTTCTGATAATTATTGATGTTCTCACGGAGAAAATGGTGTTTTTGATTGAACATTATTAATTAAAATTTAACTTGATAATGATGAATCGAAAGTTCTTATCACAATACAAAATTTTTATCAATAAATGCAAAACATTTATTTATTAAAACATTTGTTTTAGCTGATCATTTTGGGAACTTCTTCCTCCATTCAGCTGTGTAATCACACCGTAAGGTTTCTCTGAACGATGTGTTGAACCGCTCGGTTTCGTCAGCACTTCTAAGTGGAATCGTCCACAGCCAGCGCTGCTGCTCGCGTACTAAAATCAGGGCCACCAGTTTGACTCCCATCATTTCTCAGAATGAATGACCTCACGCTTCACTGCTATTTTCAGCACGCGCCTTTCGATGAACGAGTCAGTTACAAAGAATCAGCAGCAAGTGCTTCATCACGGTTGCATGCGCTTTTTGTGTGTACGCGTTACCACATCTTCTAGTAGTCACCCGGTCAGTGATGCGTGCTCTTCCTTTCCAGACGTTGTCTTCAGGAGTGGTCCAGGTGTACACAGCGGAACGAAACGGCAGCTGGAGCAAAAGATGCTGCGGGGTGGCCTGTCTGGTCAAGGACAACCCGCAGCGCTCCTACTTCATCAGGGTCTTGGACATGAGGGTAGGTGGAGATACGACGGGTTTTCAGTTCAGCACAACCAAATCGGTGGACAGGGTTAGGGTTAGGGTTCCTAACCCGGTGGACCAACTTATGTATATTTTTTTATTTCAAAGGAGGGTAAGATGATGTTCGAACAGGAGCTGTACAACGGCTTCCATGGTAACCTGCAGAGACCTTACTTCGTTACATTTGCTGGAGATGTGAGTTTGTTTGCTTCAAAGTTTTCAGTTTAAAGATTCTGGTTTTCACTGGATATAATCTTCTCTCAGTCTGTCATGTCTTGTGCTACTTTGTGAAGAAATCAGGCCTTTAGATAAAAGATCATTTTCCAAATTATGCATAATTGTTTTTAAAGAACAGAGCAAATTAAGTAGGCATACAAAGATTTAACTCTGCATTTGTTGATTGAAGGTCTTTGTTGGTGAGACTCCAGCAGGTTGTGTGTGGGATTGCCTGCGACGGAGCTGAGTGCATAATTAAAAATAGGTTGTGTTCAGCTGAAGCTATGCTTTTGTCTCATTTTTGTGTGTGTGTGTGTTTGTGTGTGTGCATCCATAGTCGTGCCAAGTGGGTCTGAACTTCGCCAACGAAGAGGAGACCAAACGTTTTCATGTCGCCTTAACAGAGCTCATGGGGAAAAGAAACAGGAAAACAGGTACGACCTTCCGCCGTTGATCTTTGGAGACTCGCAAAAACTATTCACACGCTTTGAACTTTTTCATATTTTATCACAGTCTTTTAGTACTTTACTGGGATTTCATGTGACGGCACAGAACAAAGCAGTTTGCGAAAGGAAAAGGATTTACGGGTTTAATTGTTTTCAAAAATAAAATCTGAAGTGTGGCATGCATAGGTATTCAGCCCCTCATATTATCAAACCCTTAAGTATGGGCCGCTCTGCAACAATCTGTTACATAAAATCCCAAATGTGGGAGCATTGTGAAAAAGTTCAAGGTTGCAAATTTTATTTCTTTAAAAAAAATTACAAGGTTGGTTGATTTTACAATGTAATTTTTTTTTTATCTGTTTTTAAGCCAAATTATGGCGCCTAATAAAAGCAACGAAACATGATTGTTGACTTTAACTACTATAAAAATTATTGAACCACAAATTAAATCCATGCCTAAATGTCTCTCTCTCTTTTTGATGCACTGATCTTGGAAAAACTGTCAGTTATTTTAGTTTTCGGTAGTTTTCAGTTTCAGTAGTTTGTTTCAGTTTAATAGATTAATTTGACACAGAGTGATGCATTTCAAGTACTTGTTTCTGTTAAATGTGACATGTGGCTCATACCTATTCTGCTACTAAAGTTATTTAACCCTCTTTTGCACCTTAGGAGTCAGTAAAGTTATGTTAGAGACATTTTGGATTACAAATACCTATATCAAACGTTTTTTGTTTTGTTTTTTTTAAAAATGTGACTTATCATACAAGTGGAATAAAAAGACATTTCTAAGTATAAAAACTAGAAAAAACAGTTTCCAACTCCTCCCACAGGCAGGATAAGCCACAGGTCATTGCCAAAGACGCTGACAAGTCAGTCAATTTGAGCTTATCTTTGGAAAGTTGAGCTAAAACCAGGAACACTAACAGGAATTAATGCTTAAAATATATCACTCTGCAATGACTCACCTTTTTGGATTAGATTACCAAAACAATCAAAGAATCTTCATGGACTTACTTGTTAAATGCTCCAAAATAATTTTTTTGTGTAATATTATTATAGGGATATATTGTCTCTGACTAACAACAACTACTCTTAAACAACAGAGTGAATTGTTTTTTTGGGTGTTTTTCTCATACTTTGGCCTATGCTCTGTCTAATCGTTTCCTTCCGACTTCTAATTCACGCGTGTTTTCATAAACCTATGAGCACTTTTCCATCACGTTTATCATCACAAGCTCAATTAAAAATTTTTTTTGGCTTTTATTTCTTAATCTTTTCATCTGGTCTGCTTTGAATCTCCTGCGTTTTATGACTAACGCCATTTCCTGTTGAACCTTTAACCACTGGAAAACAAACTTGTATTTTTGAGGTCATCTTTTCCACCTCGCCTTCGCTTGTTGCTTTTTTTTAAAAATTTTTTAACATATGTATTTTAAGGCGAGACTCGTAGAAACACGTGGATGGTTGTTTTCTAGAGGGTCGCCTCCTAAACGCACCAACTAAAATTTTCTCACCAACTCTTCTCCACCTGCTGATTCCTGCACTGACCGTGATGAAACTTCTTGCTCTTTTTGGGGGAAAAAAAAATTTTTTTCACCTCTGCGCACACTTTGGCGCTCGCTTTCTCCTCTAATTAATAGAACTTGTCGAATGCAGCGTTGTAATGATATGATTTATTTGTGTTCACAGAGAAGAGGCGAGACCCTCCAAATGGTACGTTTTCTACTTGTATGTTATAAAATGCTCAATAATCACATCTGGACTCATCGTCTACCTTTGACTAAATGCTGCGTTCTTGCGGCCCTCTTCGCTGACGGGGAACAACTTGGTTATTATTGCCCCCTTGTGGTCGCAGGAATCCATTACACCCAGTAACCCTATGTGACCTCCACGACCTTTCAAGCTGTATTTGACACATTTATTTGAATGCTTCTCAAAAACAGACCATCACAATAGTGCCATATAGTCAAGATTCTAAAACCAACATGTAAATCACAGCTGGTTCCTCTAGTTTTGGGGGGAGAATTGAAGTATTTTGAACTTTTTATAATTTTTTATGATTTCGTTTTTCATTCTTTGATGTTTTGGATAAAGAAAGAAAATTTCCGATGACCATACAATGCAGATTTCAAATGACTATTATTCACAATGGTGTAAAACAGCAGATTTAATTTCATGATATAACAAACGAGGAATGTTTTTGAATTATTTATTTTTTTTCCCCCTGGAATGAAATCATCACTTCAAAATCTGTATTCTATATTTAGTCACTTTCTATTTATTTGGCATCCAAGTGAAATGATCAACATTTAGACAAATATGTTTCAAAAAATGATCATAATTTGTATTTTTCCTGTCTATCCTGTTCTCATTCTCCCATCATCGCCCATTTCTGGTCCTTTCCTACTACTTCCTGTTCCAGCTTTCCTTTACTCGTCGACGACCTCGGCTGCTCTTTCCCCTTTTCCTCATCATTTAATCGGTCTCCGTTTTCATTCCGTCTCAGTCTCTCTTATGCCGTCTGCCCAGTTTTTCTCCCATCCTGCTGCTTCATCGTGTTTTACAAACGTCACAGATTAATATGGGATTATGCCCTGGACGGGTTTTAATGGTTACATAAAGGCCAGCAGAGCTCTGACCATAATAACTGTCTGGGATTAGATACATTTGCGTGTTTTGCGGGGTAAGACCAGGAGCTGCTTGCAGCGAACGGATGCTGGAAAGCTCAACGGATCTGGCTGACTGAATGTCGGCTGTTTTCAAATCTTTTTGGACGCCTCACCTGCTTGACGTCTTCTACAACTTAATTTTTTTTTTTTTTTTTTTTGGAACCTGTGAAGGAAGACCTTAGATCTGCTTCTTGCATCAATGCTATTTCTTTCGATCGGTTCCAAGAGCGGCCATGATGTTCTGCACAACCTTTCTTTCGGCCCCGTGTGAGGAGCTTCTTTCTGAGGGTGGGGTCGGAGGACGAGCGGCTCCGGCAGCTGCTGCTGCTGGTGGGTTGGGTCCAGGCTGTCTGTCTTCATTTCACTGCCTGGTCCTCCCTCAGGACGAACTCTACCCGTCTCTTTCTGACTCTTCCGCTCGCACTGAGGCGGCTAAAATGCTGGTAGACGTTGGGATGAGCAGCTGCCGAGCAGGAGAAGGCGGGCGGGTTTGGGGCAAGGCGGGAGGACGATGCGCTCGCTCGGCGTCACCACTGCCCTGCTTAACTCCCAAATGTTTCCGTAAAGCGAGTTCAAGAGGTACGTGTCCAAGAACTGACCCAACACAATTTGCTTTATGATCAACATCTCACAAAAACCCAAACTTTTTGCTTCCCAGACAATGTGCATATTACATAAGACCAATAAAAATATTTTAATGCTGCTGTTCTACCTGAATTTCCCCTTTGTTTGAGAGACATTCCCAACATGTGAACTGCGGTTGGAGTCGATGCTTTAAGAGTCACTATTCAAAGACTTATCCTGGGTTTCGGTCTGGTCGGTGGATTCTTTTTGTCAACGAAGTCCAAAATTAGCACAGCAATATTTTATTGAACTCTGACCCTGAATTTCATCAAAATCTTCAAATGCCTGAAATATTTTTGTGTGTGAAGTGAATATCATTTTACTTTTTCAACACAGATGCATCTTAACGTATCGTGTTTGTACTTAGTCATGCTGTGATTTCTCTAACGGTAATAAAAAAAAAAAAATCTGCACTAATATTAATAGGACTCTACCTGAAATGTCAAAAGCTTTTCTTTCCACCATCTTCTATGAATTTTTCTGTCTCGTTTCCCAACATTAACGTTGTCCACACGGTCACCGTTTCTCCAGGACCTGCGTTGCCCATGGCGACCGTCGATATCAAAAACCCAGAGATCAGCAACTCGCATCGTTTCCACAACAACTCTCAGATGAACAGCCTGGTGCACGGCTCCTTCCCCAGGAGGATCAAGAAGGAAAAAGTGAAGAAGAAGAAGCTGACCAAGGCCGACATCGGCACACCCAGCAACTTCCAGTGAGTAGCCGATGGCGTTAGCGTTGTTGATTTAGTTTCTGGTAAGAAATCTGATCGTCGCTGTCATAAAATCGCCAGTGTCCTGACGGTGCATATTTAATGTTTGTCATGTTATCCAGCCTTCTTTCAATCCTTCAAGTCTTCCTTCAGTTTTTATCTTTCTTCCACATTTCTTTGCTCCTTACTTTAGCCTTTCTTGCTGAAAGATTGCAACTCTCTCTTTCATTTCTCAGAAAAAAATCTGGTCAAATATAAAATGTTGCCTTTAAATTGTGTTGCACTCACTCAGTTACAGGCCACAAAAGAACCAAATATTACAGTACACAGCCTTAACTTGCATTTCTTCTGCTTTTTGTCTTACAGGCATGTTAATCACATAGGATGGAATCCAAACACCGGCTTTGATGTAAGCAGCATTGATTTGTTTGCGCGTCTTCGGTTGTGAACGTGCGTGACGGGTAGACCGTCTCAAACCGCGTCCAGTCGGGCACGCCTCCCCGCACCGGATTATTTAAACGTAATATCTGCTTCTAAACGTTAATCCGAGCTGCGCACACAAGGAGATTTCAGATGGAAGAGAATCAACGTGCACCTGCATAATCTATAGTGCAAGTTTCAGACGTCCCAATCAGGGAAACCGCTGGATTCAAAACGATGGATCACAGCCTGCAAATGAGAAAATTAAGCCCAGGGAATTTTAGCTTAACAAATTAAAAAGTCTTTTTATACATAGCTCTGAGCCTAGAGGATTTTTACCTGGTAAATTACTCTTAAGGTGAAGATGAGCTATTTTTGCTCCTCATTGATAGTTTAGGTTCAGTTTATCAACTAGCCATGGGAGCTCATATAGGGATTTCTTCAAAAAAAAAAAAAAGAAAGTGGAAACATCTGAATGCATTCCAGTAACTGAATTGTATCAACATTTTACAATGTGGAAAAAGAAAAGCTCCTCAAAATAGTGTATTTGTCGAGCCAACATGTCAGAACATGTTCCAACACTGGCCACTAGGTGGAGGCAGAGCGGCAGAAATTGGTTTCTTATTTCTTATGAAGATTTGTTTCACATTTGTTTCAAAATGTGAAACAAACAAATTTGTTTCACATTTGTTTCAAAATGTGAAACAAATCTTCACAGAAAACGTCACCAAGGCCAAACACTATGTCAGACGTTACGTTATTTTAGGAGAATCGGATTGCATTGGAGTCTCTTTAGGTTTCATTGTTCAAATTATACATATTTTTTAGTTATGTTCATATATTTGTTTTCTTTTTTTCTGGGGGTGGACGGTTAGCTATGCATGTACAAATTTCTGTATAACAGTGAAAAAAATATTTATACCCCTTACAGTCCAATCTAACTAAGCTTGAACTATTTTTGGGTGGAAATTTTTTTTTTTGTAGTTTTAGCCTGCTAATATGCGAGAAGGGTTGATGGGTATAAATGTTTTTTTTCTCTATTAACTATGTATCAATGTATATACAGTGTCCCTTTTCTCTTTTTGCCTCCTCTAGATGAATAACCTGGACCCAGAGCTGAAGAACCTGTTTGATTTGGCCGGGATCTCCGAGGCTCAGCTGAAGGACAAGGAGACCTCCAAGGCCATCTACGACTTCATTGAGAAAAATGGAGGCGTGGAGGCCGTCAAAAACGAGGTACGGAGACAAGGTAAGACGGCAACCGCACTCTCTCCTCCGCGTTTATGTGGAATCTAGATTCAAACCGATTTCCTGTTAGAAACGAGGCAATTAAACCTGAACAAGTAGGGATGAACAGCTGCTGAATGGGGACGGACAATCAGACTCAATACAGTTGCATATTGTTGAAAAGTTTAGTCATTTCGGCGACGCATTTCACAAACCGTCTCATTAAGCCCACATTTCTTTGTGAAAGTACTTTTTAAATTGCACAAACGAGCCTCATTAGAGCAGATACTCTAATTGAAAATGACTGCCTGGAAATGTTTTTTTCAGGATCTTGTGAATTTCTTTGAAGCGGGCCGATTGTCTTTAGCTGACAATCTAACTGGTGTGGTGGTTTTATCCCCAGGTCCGCCCAGGTGGAGCGGTAGGTTTCTGTGCATGACCGGCTGTGGAAGCTAACTGTGACGCTGCATGTGCAGTTATGCTGAGTTTCCACCATGAGGTGTTTTGCAGTTCCTGCAGAGGTTCTGTCTGCTGTGTGATACTCTGTCACCAGACTTCCTGAATACATTTTCTGACGTTTTGTTGAATAATTGCAGCGCGTCTCCTTCCTTGGGAACCTAAAGAATTTCAAACTTCTGGTTGACTTTGTTTGACTCTTTGCATGTAGATTGGTGCAAGAGGGAATTTGGTTTCATATGTTGGTAATAGTTTTGTCCCATTATGACAACAAACTTCAAAGTATTTTGGGGGGATTTTATGTGATAGACCACCAACACAATGAAGACGTGCCCAGTTGGGGAGGGGAAGGACGCTGACTCATCGCTCGCAACAATTTTTCCAAATGAAAATCTGGAAAGTTTGCATTTTTCTTCCACCACATGACTCGACTTTAGTCTGCAGCTACAGTTTCAACCCTTAAAAGCTTTGCATGTTTTGTTTAGAGGCTTTAACATTTTACATTTGTTTTTGTGAATTGGCTCACCAAAAAAAAAAACAATAAAAAGGACCTATAAATGTAAATTTTCAAGTCAAACATTAGATTTAGGTCTGGATTTTGTGGAATCCAGACCTAGGATACTTTGATTTGAATCGCGGCTTTTTCTTCTTACTGAAAGCTCAACTTCTGCTCTCAAGTTTTTTTGCTTTTCAGCCTCTGAAAAGTTTTATTTTTCTTCACATTTTCCCCGCACTGTGGAAATTACGTGTTTTCAACAAGTTGGGTTTTTGCGGCTAAAACTTGTTTTATCAGACCAGAGCGCCATCGTTCAGATTTGTCTCGCCTCCTACAGAACTTGCGGCAAACAGGAAACTGGACTTATTGTTGCTTTCTTACGAAAGAGTAATAGTTCTCCTTTGTGGAAGGAAATGGATGGAGCATCATCTATTCTATCACATAAAATGCCAATAAAATACGTGTTGTTGTGGTTGTAGTGCAACACGGTTTTATTTCTCGGTTTTACTAACATTGATATGAACCCCAGCTGATCCTGTATGGCTTAGTTATGATTGCATGGTTTGGCACATGTATGAACTGCCAAACATTTCAGTCTGTCAAATGATGAGGATCCCCTGCAGTTGTAACGAATAAAATCTGGTTTTTATGGCAACTGTCAGTGACTTCTTACAGACATGAGAAGTGTCTGTATTGATTATGTTTGTTTTTTATTTTTGTTTAGCTCCTCCACCGCCTCCACCCAGAGGTGGCCCTCCTCCGCCACCCCCACCCCAACATGGCTCCGCCCCTCCACCACCTCCTCCTTCCCGGGTGGTCCGGGGCGCCCCGCCGCCTCCTCCCCACTCCAGGCCTCCCGTCTCGGCGCCCCCGCCTCCGCCCCCGTCCCGACCGGGCATGTCCGCGCCGCCGCCTCCGCCACCCAGCCGTGGCGCTCTCCCGCCTCCTCCCGCCCCGGCGCACACCTCCCTCCCCGTGGCCCCGCCTCCTCCTCCTCCGCCGCCGCCGCCGGCCAGCAACGGCGCTCCTCCGCCCCCGCCGCCTCCGCCGCCTCCCGGACCTCCTCCTCCGCCCTCCATGGAGGCCAACGGAGGGGACGGCAAGTCTGCGCTGCTGAGTCAGATCAGAGGGGGAGCGCAGCTGAAGAAGGTGGAGCAGAAGGAGAGGCCGGTGTCCACCGGCGGCAGAGACGCGCTTCTGGACCAGATCCGACAAGGAGTCCAACTGAAAGCTGTTAGTGTTCATCTGTCACTCTCGCTGCAGCCCAGTAGCTTCGCGTTTCATGCAGAAACTCATTTATTCTGGTCTCCCATCTTTACAGAGGGACGATAACTCCGAACCGACATCTACTGACGCGGCGCCGACGGCGGGCATCGTCGGGGCGCTGATGGCCGCGATGCAGAAGAGAAGCAAAGCCATCCACTCTTCGGGTAACACAGATTCAGAGCTGATCAGCTCAAAAGCATATATACAGACCTACATACAGGACATCTTAATTTATCTCCAGTACAGCAAGCGAGAATTGGAATTTTGAAATAAAAGTTTTGTAGGAGCCCTTTAGTATCTCAGTTGTTACACACGCTGCACAGCAGAGGGAGTTTGTGGATTAATTTTTCAGATTTCCTGTGTGTGAGATTGGAATATTACTTCCCAAATCTGTCTTTTCTTTCTTTTTTATTTTTCAACAAATAAAAGTAACAATGACTTTTATGTAGTCAGGTTTTTATATATGCAGCTCTGGGGAAAAAAATGAAGAGACCACTGCACTGAACCCTATTGAAAACCTCCTGGGTTTTCCTCTGATTATTGATTTCTGAACTCTTCCTGAGTTAAAACGTTAATATTGTTGCTTCCAAATGAATATAAACTTGTTTTCCGGGCATTATTTGAGGTATGAAAGCACTGCATATTTTTTTAAACTAATAGTAATTGAAATGAATCATTAATGTTTACTTTTTAGATTATTTCAGTGAAACGTTGATTGCTTCTGGTTCTTCTAATATTTTTCTTTCACATTGGAAGTTTTCTCTTTTCACTCTATTGCCTGAATATTTTCTGAGAAATAATTTCTTTGCCAAACCAATTAACTCTGATCTAAATATTCCATGTTTTTTCTTTATTTTCTCTTACCCTCTCCTTCAACACATTTCTCTATCAAATCTTCATTTTCTCCATTTCCCCCCCACAGACGATGACGACGACGACGATGACGACGACGACTTTGAGGAAGAGGACGAATGGGACGACGAGTGAAACAATTTTTTTTCTTTTCTTTTTTCTTCGCCCTCGATGACACTAAAATTTATCCCAGTCTTTCTAAAATAAAGTTGATGACTTCATAATTATAATTAAAAATGTTCTATCAGTTTGCTGTACTTTTTTTTTTATTGTTGTTGCCTTCATGCTTTTTTTATTTTTATTATTATTAATCTGTGCAATACCTCATTTAATCTATAAAGATTTCTCAGTCTAATCTTAGAGGTTGTCTATTGTCGTTTGCTCCATCTTGTCTCCTGATGGGATTAATTTTCTTTTGATGCTACTCTGCTCGGACCTTTGATATTTCCAAATGTGTTGATCACGCTCTGTTTGCCATTTTTCATATCTGCTGTCTCCTGTCACACACGATCCGACTTTGCTCCTATTTTCACCCTGATGTGCAATTTTAAATCTCTCTTAAGCATTTGAGCTGAACGTTGGCTACATTTTTTTGTTTTTGTTTTTGTTTTTTTGTTCTCGGCGCTTTGTGAGGTCTTACAAGATAGCGAGACAAGTTGCCACAAAATCTTATTTGTATCATTGTTAGAAAGGGAGAAGAAAAGAAAGGAAAAAAAAGCTATTTTCATACCCGGTTGCTCTGTAGTTTATTTTTACATATTCAAATAATTCTAGTTTATTGATTATATTTTCTTAAATAAAAAAGGAGAACAAAAAGACAGCACTCTGGAATATTTAGCATTCATTCACTCTGGACTGTACATGTACTCTAAACTTTGAGTCTTGTTTTTTTTTTTTTTTTTTGCACATATTGAAAAATCCGACTCGTTGCAGGGACAGGGAACATTTTGGGGTTTGAATCATAAGTTAAAGAGCACATGCTTTAAGTAATGTAGCCAAATACATGAGGAATTGAAATGGCAAATCATTGACACTACAAACGGTAAAGAGGGTAGCCCACAGTGTTATGTTTGGCTCTTCTTTTTTTTTTTTAATCTCTGCAACACTACAAGTTTAATTGACTTTTGTGCTCATTTGTTGTTGTTTTTTTTACAGTAGAAAGCAGAGTATTAATAAACACCTGTTCATTGTAATCAGGTAATTCATCATGTGATGCTAAAATAAAGACATTTTAGTTTTGCACACTGATTCTTATAATGGGTCCATTCTACTTTTCTGTACTGGTCAAAGTGACCAAGCGCGAATTGACTGACTACTTTTAATTGTGAGCGGTGACATTGGGACGTCTATGCACAGTCGATGTTAAATTATGTAAGCATTGAATTTTTAACTTTTACCCTTTAAAAGTGGATATGTCAAAGTTAAGTTATTTTGCTTAGCTGTCATAAAAATTAAAAAATGTGTTGTACTGAAATACGATATTGTAGAATAGTTGGTGTTTGTCATCAGCTTAAAATTAGCTAATTTTAAGCTAATGTGAACATTAGCAGTTCACATTAGCATGAGAGCTGCTAATGTGAAGGCGAAAAGGTGCTGGTCATTTTTACCTTCGCCTCTTTTTCGTTGTTGCTTAAAAAAAAAAAAATTATTTTTTTTAAGTGTGAAGAAGAGCCGTTCGCACCGAGGCATTTATTTTTTTTATTATACGTATGGATGACGGTGTCATGAAGCCGCCTAGCTACATTTTAAATACCCAGCAATAGTGCTCACTTGCATTTTCAAAGATTCTCAGAAACTTAGTAGGATGTAAGCCAAAATAGTTTCTCATGTTTCTGGTTATAATGCCTGAAGTTCGACTCGGTGGCGTTTGTATTATCTCTTAAACGGAAAGCCAAGTGAGCTTTTGCAAATGTTAGCAAGTTAGCATTTGCCTCATTCTTATTAGTCACTTAGATGCTGACCCTGACAACATTAAATATGTTAATGTGGAAAATCTGAGATGTATTAGAATGTATTGTTTTCCAATCCATCTAGCTAGGTTACAGAGAGCCTGGCTATATAGCCATTTAGCTAACTGTATAGCTGCACAGCCATTTAGCTAGTTATATAACTGCATAGCCATTTAGCTAGCTATGTAGTTCGACTAGCTTATAAACATTTAAAATTTGAGCTTATTTCAATGTTTTCTGGGTTTTTCAGGGCCACCTATCTGAGTAAAATGTGTACTTGTAAAATATGTACTAATTTTGGGGGCTAAAAAATGACTATAATTTTAATTATTTGGGCAACAACAACAGAAAAGATAGCAGCATCACAACTCCAATGTTTGTCATTAGCTTAAAGTTTGCTAGCATTTGGCTTGTTCCTGTTGGAAAAAACTCAATCAGAAGGTTAATGTGTGAGGAGAATTTTGCATTTGTTTTGCACACTGAATATGAAAAACCCAAGACATTTTGTTTACAAAAAGTCTCCAAACACATTCCTTAATAGTCCCTACTTCCTGCTTTAAATATGTATTAATTAAATCAATTTTTCAAAAAATCTGGCTGAGGTGTACTGTAAAGAAGTGTTGTATGATTAAGAGGTAATGCCTACCGCTACGTTATTCAGGAAATTAAATATTTAAAGTCAATGGCCTGAATGAGGCTGCGTGTAATTAAAATCTCAGAAAAATAATGTGCAGTTAAAATGATGCGTGGGAATTTAGTTTTCTACAACATATTTAAGCCATCGAAATATTTGACAAAAAAAAGTAAAGCGAGATGGCTAACCACATGGACACTGCATATCGATAGGAACAAATACTGAATATTTTTATTTGTAGGAAAAAAAACATTTTCTTTTCCCACTAACAGTTTTTGTTCCTTCTGCTGGGAGCTACATGGCTCTGTAACATGCCAAGTTCAATTAGCAGCTCATGAAACTGAAGATATTCCTCTTTGTTAGTTTTAAATGACAATCATGAGTCGTGGCTTCGGTCACGCCTGCTCAAGAGGTTTTGAATTGAAAACTTACCATCGCTGTAACGCAGCAGCGTATTCTGATAGCTCAGCCTGTAGCACACCAGTTCACAAAAGAGAAAATAAAACATGATTCTAAAATGCTTGTTTGAAACTTTAGCCTTATCCAGGCAGAAACAATAACTTCTCATCCTTTCCTGCGGGTTTGTTTTTCTGTTGGCAAAAGCTGGACTGTCAATCTTAAATTTCCTGATGGTGAAAGACAATCTATATGCAGCTATATAGCCGGCTTGTTTGATTAAGTGAAGATCTCTGTTGTTGTTAGATGTTAAAATATGCAAAAAAGATTTTTGTCGACTTCTTCAGGAAACTGTTAAAAGGATGACAGCAACTCCAATCCAAAAAAAAAACTTGACAACAAATGAGCTCCGGTGTTGTAAACATCAATAAAGGTTTCTTCACGAAAACGCTTTTTTTATCCTTTTGTCCATGCTTAACATTTTCTTCAACTGTTAGCTGTTAGCCGTTATGTTTGGAACCTCACTTGTAAATCATAAAGACACGGATCTTCATCTACAAATAGCAAAACAATTAGGAAACAAACTAAAGAAAAGAGAACTAGGCGGCTTGTCTCTGATGTGTATGGATTAAATTATCTATAATGAAAACGACTCTTGAGTGAGGAGGCTGTATTTTTAGTTGATGTCCACATCAGCTGAACTTTCATCAGTCGCCTTCGCTACAGAGCTTATAAAAGGGATTAGAGTAGGTATGGCACTTTCCACTGATGTTACACCACTGAGGTTCCACAGAGACAAACACGCAAAAGCTTTTATAGAAGCAGCTGCACAACATCAGGGTTTTGACTTGATGTAAGCATGCAGCGGGGATGATTTGAATAATTTTATTACATAACAGCCTCCTTTCCCACTTTGGGTGATGCCTTTTTTGCACGGTAATGGGATTCAGACCTGGTTTTTGTTCTAAAAGCTGATGGATGTATGCAAATTCCACAATGTATACGTACATCAATTTATGGGATTTAAAAAAAGAGAAGTGCATTTGTTCCTCGCTGCATTTGATCTAAGTCACACGTTTGAAATTCTTTTCGATAATCGACGGAAAAATCTTGCGTGACATTAATCAAACCCGACAAGCTGTTTTCATCTTCCCACTGATAATTCTGATTTATCTTCGGAACGACTCCAGTTCTCTCAAAGCGGAATGCCTCCTTGCTCTCATCCCAGGATAGCTCCTTCTATAATCAGATTCGACTATCAGTAAAATCCCAACAAAACTTAATTTAATGTCTCTGGGCGACTTTCAACCAAGTGCAGGCAGAAATCTGGCGCAATAAGTGGCATTTTATTAACACTTCAATCCACTTCTCAACTTTATGACATAGATTGTAAAAAACCGTCTGTGCGGAAAGTGTTGCATGGTTGAATTGTTATGTTATCCAGTGTTTTTTGACCTCTAGTCAGCAAATGCTATGTGAAATACTCAAAGAGAGTTGAGTATTAGGTCAGCTATCAATGAAATGACCATTTGACATAAGAACGGCACAGTGGTCTCCTGCACTGAATAGACAGAAAAGTCAGGGGGGGCATGAGTTTATGGCTGATGGTCTTGACAGGCTCTGTGATATCGTGCGGTTTGGTGACATTTGAACATTTTTAAGGATGTGGTTTAAAGAACGACGCTGAAATTCTGCAGGAACAAGGGAACTTCTGTACATTTCTGGAAGTGATTCTTTATGGCAGCAATGCAGTTGGTGACAGACTGCGTTTTATGTAAGGACTTTCCCCCTCTTGAAAAATATTACAAAGCACTCTGGTTCTTGCGGAGGAGGACCACCCGGTGGCGCTTTCTTTGACGAACGCCTTGCATGCAACGGGCAGAGTGTAACTTTTGCACTTTGTCTCACCTCGTCCGGTTTCATTTCAGAAAACAAAATTAGCAGCTGATGTAAAGATGGCACCGCTGTGCAGTCAAGGAGACGGAGACTTTTTCCAAGACAAACGGAGGCCCCCGGATTAGAACGGCTGACAAAGGAAGTGCGTGTCTCTTTCTAATCCACCTCTCAAATTCTCAAGGTCTCCTGCTGCAAAGTTTTCACCTTGCCATCTTTGCATCCCGTAGCGTCGTACCTTATAAATAATTTTGCCTTGCAGTGATTTTGCAATGATAGTAATTATTGCAGTGCTACATGTCTGTGGAAATCTGGTCTTCTAACACGTAACCCTTACAATAAATCTAACAGAATCATTTAAGCGAGCTCGTTTTTGTGGTCATTAAAAATGAATGAAAACGCAGAGTAAGGATGTACTGATACTGTGAAGATTGGATTCTTAGCCATTTTTATGGAGAACACATTTATTCTCCATCAACCCAAAATCTATCTATTACATTTCACAGATTTTATTTTCTTTCTGCGCAGTTATTTTCAGTCGTCCGTCAGTGTTTTCCCTGCTAAGTGTCACACAATATGCTCACGTCTGTCTCTAATATTCTGTATAAAAGAACTCTAAAACATTACGCAACATCACACAGACTTTTAGGCCTCACACAAGCTAGTTTAAAATGAACACATTTACCTGAACGCATGTGTTTCCCTGTTTCCAGAAGAAGAATTAGAAGTTTGCTGCTGGGAATATTGGCGTCATCACTGATGTCAGAGTGAGTGTTTTTATTATTATTATTATTATTTCACTTCACTTGTGTTTTGCAACTTGTTCAGAGAAAGCGCGCAAAAACGCGCTCACACGAGTGGGTGTGTTAACGTCTCTGAGAGGTTGTGTGCATCAGTGGCTCCTCACCAGCAGGCTGACTCACTCAGACTGAAAAAAAATGCAAATAAAAACTTTTTTTTTTTTAAATAACCCGCCTGTGTGCGCTTCCTCCTGGACCAGCTTGTCCCCCTTTTTCCCACCTTGAATAAAACTCACCCAGTAACCAAAGAAGACACAACCAACACGAGTAAATGGGTATATTTAGAAACAAACAAATATTTCAACCAAAAAAAAACACATCATATTTACAGTCTTACATTACAAAATGTCAGTAAACAAGAATAAGAAAACTCATGTCATTTTCTGCTATGAGAGGATGCTTTTTTTTCACACTTTGATGATTAAGATCATCAGAATAAAATAGCCAGAGTAGATACAAAATGCTGCTTTCAAAACTGGAATAAAATCGATTGAGGGGGGTCAAAAAGTTCAAAGTGACTCGTCACCAGGGCCGGTCCAAGCCTTTTTGGGGCCTTTGCGTGACGGGGACCCCCCATGCCAACATTTCAACACCAGATGATTTATAATTCCTAAGCTACTGTATGTGTTACATACCTGCCATCATTAGCATCATTTTTTTATTAGCATACGTTATACTATTGATTCCAAACTTACAGAAGTAACAAATAATTTTAATAAAAAATTAGAATTTGGGTTTTAAGTGGGGCATTTTATTTTAACTACCTGAAAGCCATCAACAGGAAGAGATTAATTATTATTATCTAAAAAAACAACATAGTAATTGCATTTAGTTTGCATTATTCAATGTTATTTTTAAATATATTTTTTTCCATCATGTTAGTTTATTGCTCTTGGGGAACTCATGGAGGCATGGAGGCCACCATGGGGCAAATGCTTTCCCTTAGTTAGAAATTTGCTACTGGGTGTCAAAATCTGGAGACAATTTGGAATAAATGAATTTCACCTGTTTTGAATAGCTTTTTATCTTATTATTTGGAAACTGCATTCTGTATTTACTCAAGTTACTTGTGTTTGATATGAAAATTTGTTTGATGATGGGAAACAGTTAGGAATTATTTCTGCAAAAGGGGATGGGTCTTTAAATATCTCAAAAAAAAAAATTCAAAATTTTGAGTGCGAATTTCCAGTACACCTTCCCATTTTACTCCGAGTAAGAAATCCAATTGGTCTCCTCTTCCATCGCCATCATCATCGTCGCCGCCATTATCCCTCATCGTAGATGCTGTGGAACTTCCACCTGGAAAATCACAGATTGTGTCAGAGGACAAAAATGAGACGAAGAGCAGCAAAAGTGGTCAAACAGCAGCAGCAGCAGCAGCAGCAGCTTGGACTGCTTTCAGGTTGCCAGCGCCACAAAGCGTTGAGTCTGTTGTTATCGAAGCTCCACAGAGCAGTTTCTATAAATACCGGCGCTGAGTGGATGGAATCTGCCAGCTACAGCCAGACCCCATTATCTGAGGGCACAGATGATTTTCCACAACAATGTAACAAGCTGTGCTCCAGCTGCAGGAAAAGCCAACACTCAAATCTCCACTTACTGATATATGAAAATAGGGGAAACTCTGAGTGATACGGGCTTTTAGTTTCATTATTTGCCCTGCCATCTATGCTTTCCATTCCTCTATTATGGATGTCACCTTATCATCCACTTCTGGGTTTAAAAAAAAAAAAAAGCAGGCTCACTGACTTTATTGTTGTCAGTGTTCTCTGTCCTACACTGTCTGTGAAAGCGATGTGCTCATACCGGAGCACGCTGGTGGCAAACAGCCTTTTTTTGCCTCCCTGCTGCTGTCCAGAGACAGATTAGACCACATCAGCAACTGGGATGACTCACACACCGCTGACTCTGTGTCATCCTCGTCTAAATTAAACTCCCTCGTTGTGCAGTTTGCCTTTCGGAGAGTTTGTCCACTTCTGTTTTTCACAACCGAATCCCCCCAGAGGAGGAAGAAGTGTCCCCTCCTTTCTCTCACCCGTCTGAGGTTCCTGAGGCTGCTGCCGCGTATGGACTCCATCAGCTGATCGTGGGCGGACCTCATCGGCGTGGATGGCCTGCTGCCGCCCTCCTCCGCCCTCCTCTCGGCCGACACGGGCCTCAGGGCGTTCTTGAGCTCCTTCAGGATGCAGCCCGTCTCACCCTTGGTCTCCTTCGCCTTGCTCTTCTTGCCCTTCTTCCCTTTGGTTTTGGTGACCTTCTTGCTGCCCGCCTCGTGGGCCTTGATGACCTCCGCGATCATCCGCGTGGGCCTCTTCTTCTCCTGTTGCGCTGGGACGAGTGGAGGAGGAGGCGGAGGTGGTGGAGGTGGAGGTGGGGGTGGCGGAGTCTGTTTTTTAGTCGTTAGTTTGGGTGAGGACCAAGGTGAGGCTCTGGGTGAGGCTCTGGGTGAAGTGTAGGGCGACGAACTGGGTGTTCCTCTCTTTAGAAAAGAAAATGCACACATAATGAAGTCAGAATTGAAGCTGGAAACCAGTTTATGTGTTAACAGGTAAGAATTTGAGGAACATCGGCGACAGACACCCTCAGGTATTTGACGTTTTGGACAAACTTCATTCCTCTAATCAAGACTATAGAAAAGGCCTTGGTCAAAACATTTATGTGCCAATATTCATGTTATTGTTTCTGTGTATCATATAATTTGAATTGAACCGAATGAACCAATTAGAGTTGATTGTGTTGTGAGTAATTGGCTGAAACTATCGAGTTATTTGAACAGTATGAAGCGAAGTGATTACCAGCGCAGAGGTTCTGGGGTTCACAGCTCCGTCTTGCCCTCCTTGTTGCTGTTGCCGTTGCTCCTGCAGCCGTCTCTGCCTCTGACGGTCCTGGTTCCTGGTCAGTATCCCGGTCATGCTCATCCTGGGACCGGGGAGGTTGAACTGGTAGCCGAGCTTGATCAAAGTGTGGTTCTCCCTCAGGATCTTCACCATCTCCATTTCTACCTGCAGCAGGTCGTCGCAGTAATTCACATGGACTGTAACGGTAAACGGGGGTTTCGCTCACTGGCACTGAAACCAACCTGCCCTCCACACATGTGCCTCTGGTTGTGAAAGCGGAGCTCGGTCAGGGTGTTGTTGCCCGGCAGTGCTTGGACCAACGCCATCACTCCCTTCCCGCTCACGTAGTTGGACTCTATGTTCAGGCTGGTGATGGACACGTTCTCCTTCAGCATCTTAGCGATGGCCAGAGCGACGTGGTCGTCGGCCCGCGTGTTCGCGAGACTGAAGACTCGGACGTGGGTGTTCGCTCTTAGTGCTTCAGCAAATCGAATGAGCGTTTCCTGCAAAAGGAATCAGGAAGAAGCAGAAAATCCTAAACCCACGGTTACCTTTAAGGTTGCTGAGCAAGAGTGAAAGTTTAGTGTCTGATTATTTTTGTTGTTGTTTGGCCAACCAATCAACTTTGAAAGATGATTGAGAGGAGCAAGAAGACTTTCCCTTCCCAACTGAAATGGTTTATGAATAGATGTTTTGATCCGGCTTATTAGATTGAAACTTATGACAGTGAATCATGCAATGAAGAGAGAAAAAAAATTGTTTTTTAGTCATGATAAATACGTGCTTGTTTGTTTTTTCACATTGCCAGAAATATCTAAGTTTTAAGATATGAAACTAATATTTTTCAACAATGTTACTTTTAGAGAATTGAAAGAAATTGGTCATCTTTTTGCTACAAGACACCCTGTGATCATCTGTTTTAACGGATTTAAATAAAGAACACTCAAAAAGTTTAGTTCCTATATCCTTGGAAACAAAGAAAATGGAAATCAGGGATGTTTCGAAACATTTGCGTGGAAAGGCTGACGCTGCACTGAGGAAAAACTAGGCGAATGAAACACCTCGTTACCTGCGTGATGTCTTCAATGTTGTTCAGATTCACCTCGGCGAGTTCAGAGTCGTCACTGAGAACTCGTTGCAACGCATCATCAACGACTGTAGGGTTTCCACTGGAGTTTAGGTCCACTGGTGGAGGGGGCGGAGTCAGCCTCACAGGCTCCACCCACTGAGGCCTCAGCAGCGTCGGTTTGACCGCATGCACTGAGTCTCTCAAGGGTTCAGGTTTTGCTACATTGTCTTGTTTGTCTTCATCCGTTTCGGCGTCATCGTCGTCTTCTTCTGTTACAGGCTCCTCTTCCTCACTTTCTTCCTCTTCATCGCTGTCTTCCTCTTTGTGATCTTCCCCCTTTGAATTTTCTGACCTTTGGCTTTCCTTTTCACTCTCGTCGTTTTTTTCCTCCTCCTCTTCTTCACTGCTTTCTTCTGTTAGACACTCGTCTTCTTGTTCTTCATCCTGTGTTTTGAGAACGTCATTAAATACCAGGAGTGGTCAACTGTAGATATGAATACAAACGATCTTTAGGGTCAACAAGCGCAGCTCTTATGGTACAGAGAAAAACAAAAATTGGTTGCAACTCACAAATGTTTTATTGTATTCAATGTTTTGGTATCTTTTCGTTTGCAGGGATTTTCTCCCATATATTCTGACAAAACTGGAGGAACTGAGTCAGGTTTATTGAAATAAATAAACTTTTCAATGTTTTTTATTTATCTAATTTGACTGCATGGGGAATGTGTTTTTAAAAGCACACTTTTAAAAAAATGTGCTGACATTTTTTAAAAGAACCGGTTACAATAGGATGGTTTAATTTAATTCTATGGGATGTTGACATTTGTTTAGTAAAACATGTCATAGATAAATAAGTAATGAGAGAAAATATAGATTTTTTAAAAATTGCCCTGATTTGGAAAATTAATTTCCAAAAAAAAAAAGCTTTAACTTCCTGGCCGATATCCTGAAATGTCCCTTTTATATTTTCACAAAATGCTGACTGAGTACATGCGCAAACTGCAATTTCATTTTGAGGCTAGCGATGGCTTCTTCGTTGCTGAATGGCATTTCAGCACAAGTCGGCCCAGGAACGATGCCAAATAAACGAAATCACTTTTCTGCACATTTCCTCCTCTTACCGGTTTGGGGCTCCCTCCTGCTATCTCATTTTCCAAAAGTTTACGGGTCTCGTTCTCCCAGTACTTCATGAGGGCCTCTCTGCTGAAAGTGCCCGTTGGGGTTTTGTCTGTCTGATCTCGCTGTCTGAGTCCAATGGGCACGTTGGCGTCGGGATCGATGTCGACCAGCTCCTTTTCCAACTCGGCCAGCTCCTCCGGGCTGAGCGACGCCAAGAGCTCGTCCTCGTCGACGTCTTCGTACTTACTCAGCTCTCGGCGATACCCGAAAAAACTCATGGCCAAAGCCTGAGAAGCACTGACCAGCGAGTATTAAACTGTCTCAGGGTTAATTGGGCTCCCAAGATGAAGGAGTTTGGATAAAGAAAGTCAATTAAAACATCAGGTCCACCAACAGGCTTGAGATCTATGAAGATCTCTGCAAAGTCAGGTTAAAAACCAGTCGATTCATGCCATACGATGTGACCAGTCCAAACGTATCCCTCCTGCTCCAGTCTGAACCGGATTCCTCCTGGCCGGTCGACTTTATGTAAGGCTGCACACATGTGTGCGTTCGTGTGTGTGTCCATGGCCTCTCCTTTTCTAATCTCGCCAGCTGCTGTTTGGGCTTTAGGAGGGAACGTAGCAGCGAGTAGGCCTCATGATGCAGCGTCTTTTTTTGGGAGCCGTTACCCAGATAGGCAGAGCTACAAAAAGCCTGTGAGCTCAGAGGCTCCGTGGCCTGTCATTGTAGCGCGCAGTCACCGGGACCTGAATGGCTTTGTTCATGGCCAAAAAAAGACTGAGCTTCATCGAAGAAGCAGGACGAAAAGGTTCTGCTCTTGAAAAATTCAACAAGAGGCGAGAAGGAAGGTTTTCTGACGTTCGTTAAATGTTTTCAAAACCATTTCTAAGGTTCTTGTGAACCACTGCATCGAGCTGCTGGATTCCTCTTCAGGTTTGCAGATAAAGCCTCTGTGGAGGAAACCTGAGAACTGAAGGGTTAAGATGGCCGAAGCATCCGGAGCATCCAGCAGTATTTCTGGTTAATGTGTCGGGGTTATCCAAGCCAAGATTTTTTCTGTTATTGTTTGAGCACCTCTAGATTAGAATAATAAGTAAGGTATTGTTTGGAAACACATGCAAGCAAAAAGTTCTGACGAAGAAGGATGTTATTCATCTTTATTAGTGTTATTCCTTTATTTGTAGCTTCCATCAGTCCCAGTGCTTATTCACCTTCCCTCGGTTTTCCAGTTTCCTCTTTCTTTGCCCCAGCTGTTTTCTATCTCCTGATTTACCACTACCTGTACTCTTCCTCAGCTGTTCTCCGTTTGCTTCTGGTTAGTTCTTCATTTCCACCTCTGCCACGGTATTCAATCTCTGTGGTTCTCATTGTTCCTTACTGGATCCTTTCGTTGTCCTGTCCTGCCGCCTGCTGCTCCTCTTTAGAGTCCCGTCCTGTCCTTCTGGTGCTCCAGCTGTAAGATTTCTCAATCATCCTTTTGAGATCCTGTCTACATTTTGATGCAGCTGCAACTGTAAATATAGATCAACACCTTAATCTTCAGATTTTTGTTATTTGTTTACCAAAAAACTCTTTGTAAGTATTTCTTTGGCTAGTTAGATCGAAAACCTAATGTTTTTTGTTTGTTTGTTTTGCCAGGATAAGATTATATTCAAAGAGCTTTTCCAGAACTGGATGGTTTGATGAAAGTTTGAAATGGGAAGGTTGATTGTTGAACTTTTATTAAAGTCTATATTTTTTTTTAGATAAACTGTGTGAGCAAAAAAAGGAAAATATTAGTTGTGTAAAACGATACTTTTACTCTTTCTTATACATTGTAATATGTAGTGAGAATAAAAGAAATGTGCTCCACATCAGCTTCACTGGTGTTAAAATGCATTCACATAGACTCTGCAGGTTTGTCTCAAAGTCTGTTGCACTTTTCTGCAGATTATTTTATCAATTTAACGGTATTCTTTGGCTGATACCTTTGCAGGCATCTGATTACTGATATGCGAGAAGCAGATTTACCAGATGTCACTTATTTTATTTCTCATGCATGCATTTTTCCTCTCTTCTGGTTCTACTTTAGCAACTTTTACAACAATGTCATAAACAGTATAAATACAGGAAAGTGTAGCTTTAGGTAAAAACTGTGAAGTTGTGACAAAAAAAAAAAACTGCATGAAATGCACACATTTACAAAATTCCCAGCTTGTCACTGCAGATCGGATCTTGTTATCATTAGAGCCCCCCGTAGGGGTCGACCGCCCTGTAGGTCAGGTAGCCGATCAGTCTGGGAGGAAAGGGAGCACCATCCATGGCCTCTGGGTCGCTCAGCATCCTGATGTTCATTCTGCCTCTGATCACGAGTCGGCACAAGTGCTGCAGGGGGCGGGGTTCTCCTGGAGCACAGACGGCGTTAATTAGTCTTGGGTTGACCAGGACTTAAAGTCAACATCACGCTCTTACCCAGCACAGCGGAAATCTCCTCCCACTCAGGAGTCCTCTCCAGGATGCGCCTCAGGTTGGAACAGATGCTGACGTGGCTGACGTAGTCGAGAAGAATCCTCACCACGCTGCCTGCCAGATGGGCGAGCCACGACACGAACACGAACTCGCAGAACTAAAAGAGCAAAGACCAGGAATTTCCTTTGGCGTTAACTCGTGCTCTCACTTCACTGCACATGGCAAGCGGGGGAAAGAATGCTCGTGTGTCAGTTCTCACTGGAATGACGTTAGGCTGGCAATAAATCTTGTAGGCCTGGTCGTGGAGGTCAGTCCAGGTACTGTCCAAGTCTTCACTTTTATTGTGGAAGCACTCAAAGCATCTGCAGGAAGTAAGATGTTTAAAAATGTGAATACTGTCATTCAAAGTTAGGTTTAAAGTGAGATTTGATGAGCAGGGGGTGTACGTGCTTGTGAGCCTGATAGCCACTGTTGAGCAGCAGCCGCAGCATGTCGTGGTCTCTGAGGCAGTAGCAGAGGGCAGTGGGGAACACAGTGTTGTTGATCACTCTGAAGTAACAGTTCACCTCGGCTCCATATGACAGCAGCAGCTTCACCAACTCATACCTAGAAACAGCCAGTTGTTTTTAGGGCAATCTGCGTCACTTATGCGTCTGGCAAAGCTTGCCAACTGCCTCCTGCAGACCTCTCTGCCCGAACGGCTACCAAGATGCATCGCAGAGGGTCCAGGTCTGTTCTTGCTCCAGCTTTCAGCAAGATCTCAGCACACGTCAAGTCGCCGTTGGAGACAGCAAAGTACAGAGGAGTCTTCCTCAGGTCGCCATAGTTCTCTGTAAGATTGAAAAAGGTCAGCAAGTTAGTTCCAGGAAGTAGATCAAAATCTAAATTGAGTGGAATTATTTATTTATTTTACTACAATAGCATAGCATGTGATTCCATACATTAAACACTATATGTTAAAAAGCATCTTTCATCATTTTCTGATATTTATTTATTTATTTTTTTTTTTTTTTTCGTTTTAGTTGTGGTCAAATTTGTAGTTCATGATATTTCTATTCATTTTCTTGGTCAAAGTGAAATATGTGAAAAAGTTGAAGATTGATGCATAGAACAATAGATGCCAGAGAACAACAAAGTGATAAGGTTTCAAGTTAAAATTTTAATTCTTCCGTGGCAATTTGCTAAGTAAAGTGGGAGGAAGAAACCATTTTAGAGCAGCGCATGGAGACTCAACAAACCGGCACACAACCCAGAGATTTAAAAGCGCTTTGTGGTGAGTCTAGCGGAAAATGGAAAATTTAAGTATTCCGGACCAGCTTTCATTCTTATTGTGAGGCGCTTTCATTTCTGCAAATAGCTGTGTTGCCAGAAAATGTTGTGCGAGTGAGCCCTTCGCTGATTGTGTAAGTTAAGTCATTAAACCCATCAACAGAATCTAAAATCTTGCAGTTTGCAAGCAAATCTGATATCGAAAAGGAGGTTGTAGCACTTGTTTGCTGTGAAAACTTATTTGTAGATGTATATGAAAACTATTTTGAGCAGATTATTGAAGTATTTCTTACAGAAACACATTCCACATGTTTGGGATGCACATGATTAACTTCCATATAAGTGAAAGCAACATTGTTTTTATTTTATGTACGCAACCTCAAACTTTAATGGATCTTGTTTTTGGGTTTTATGCAATATAGGCCAACACAAGGCAGTTGCTTAGTTGTGAACAATGAAACGCACTTTCGAGATTTTTTTTTATGGCTGGATGAAAAAGGACAGACGTATGGATTCTCAAGCAGCATTTTGCGTATAACACTTATACGGTCGCCCCTACCGGAGATGTGTTTATCTAGCTGTGTGTTGACGTCAAAACCATTCTGGATGAGGAGCTCGAGACATTCAGTCTGTCCCCCGTCAGCAGCAGAGTGGACCGGGCTCTGGCCTGAGAGACGGATCGCTCTCTTTGTGGTGACAGGGATCAGAGTTCTCAGGACTCTGCAGAAGCGGAGGGGAAGGGGAGACAGGAAAATAAAGAGGAATCAACAGAGTGAAAAACACCAAACAAGACAGAGAGAACGGTCATTAATCTGTGGTTTGAGTTACAGTGTATTTTAGGAACTGAGACAAACAAAGGACTCTTTGTGGAGAACTTTCACTCTATTGTTTGCTTGTTGTGATGCAGACAAATGGGGTAAGTAATTTTATTTAATGCAGAGCAATTTCTTTATTCTGAGAACTGAATCTGCGGTCGTAATTGTAAGCCATCAGAATGACGCTTCATGTTTTCTCAAACTCAACCCACAGCATGTGTCCCTCGTATGCAGCCCTGTGGATGGGCAGCTGACAGGCGTAGCTGGCCACGTTTGGGTTGGCTCCGTGCTGCAGAAGGAGCCTGACACAGTCCAGGTTCCCTGACCCAGACGCGTCATACAGGACCGTGTCCCCATTGCTGGCCCGGGCGTTCACGTCTCCCCCTAGTGGAGGACAGAGGAAGTGCAAAAACAGAGGGACCAGTTGGGGAAATTAGGCAGGGTCAGAGTAAATAGTTAAATGTTTGTGTTTTAATGTTTTACCGTGCTGTATGAGTATTTCTAGGGCTTCGGTCCGGCCGTGCTCCGCTGCGATTCCCATGGCGGTCACACCATGACCGTCTCTCATGGCAACCTGGGCTCCATGGCGAAGCAGCAGCATCAGAACAGCTGGACAACCCACCTGAAAGACAAGATGGGGAAGTAGGCTGTTTTAGGGGAAAATCTTCTAATTATAACTTTTTAAAATTTTCAGATAACAGAATTTTTTTAAAGCTCACTGAAGAAAAAAGTGGGCCAACTCAAAAAATGTGTCAGTTGCCTCACAGACATAGAAACTTGTTTCACAACTTAATAGCCAAGCTAATGGAAAAATTGATCTAATGTCTCATACGTGATGAGTGAGTTTGATTCACTCTACAGAAAAGTTCGGATGGCAGCTTTAAAACACCCCCCACCTTTGCAGCTTCATGAGTCGCTGTCCACTTCGTGAGACACACCTGCTCCACAAAGGCCCCACTCAGGATGAGGGAATGAACGCTGTCATATGAGCTCTGTCTCACCGCTGCAAAATGTGGAAAGTATATGTGAGGAAAAAGTTTCTTGGTAAGGGTTTCTTTTTCACAAAACTGCTGAAAACGCAGTGGATGAATGACAATGATGGTGAAACATGACCTTTGGTGACTGTAAATGATACACTGTCTTAACAAATAAGTACTGTTGGCATATTTGACATGGAAAAGGAACAGTTGAAGGTTGTGGTTATGCTGTGGTGGATGAGTAGTGAGTTTGCAGTATATAGTGGTCAGAGTGATATAATTTGGAAGAATCGGGAAGGACTTCAAAATCTCTTATTTTTGTTTCAGGTCGGTCAGTGCTCCTATAGTAAATAGAGAGACATGGGGTGAATTTTACATTTACTCATGACTCTGTCAGATTATCGAGGCATTTCCTAAAAATTTATGATTTTTGCTTAAATTCCCTCAAAAACTTGGCCAAATCCATGCAGTGGAAATCTGTCCAAGACTTAGAGGTATCATTGGGTCAGACTCCACCCCACTGGCTCAACATATCAGGCCACCTGTGAGGTGAGTGTGTGCCTTTTCTGGTTGGCGGTGTGATTGTACTACCGAGGAGCAGAGGAGATTCATTCCTGCTGTTTGTGTTGTGCGGCGAGGCTCCGTGGCGCAGCAGCAGGTTGATGTTTTCCACTTGGTCGGCTTCTGCTGCCAGCGTCAAAGCCGTGTCCCCGTCCTTCGTCTGCTCTTCTAGTGTCATGTCCATGGATGCCATCACTGCAAGGGTGGCAAATAAGCACAGCTTCGATATGAGGATCTAACGCTGAGCTGAATCCCTCGATGCTCTCTTACCCTGCAGCACCACGTGCAGCATTTCTGTCTTTGGCAGAGCAGCCGCTGCATGCAGAGGAAGCCAGCCCCTGCTGTCGCTCTCTCTGAAGGCAGACGCGCAGCACGACAGTTCCCGCAGCGCAGCCACATCACCTACAGAGATACAGTTTTAAAGAGTGTTAAATATCAGATTAATATATCATGGACTGCACATTGTGACTGGGCAGATGGAAGGCCTTTCTTTAGTGGGCACAGGGAAGCTTTTCAAGTTAACAGGAGGCTAAAATCGCAGTGTAACAATTGGCCCAGTCAAAGTTCAGAGATGACTAAATTTGCAAAACCTGAAAAACATCTAGGGCCATTTGTTGCACATTATTACTCATACCTACATGCGTGTATCGCTTTACCTTTATCTATTGCCGTCATTATCTTCACAAAGCTTTCACTGTTTGGCTGTTTCCTGTTGAAACAAACGCAGATTACCTTCAGCAGTTTACTTTTCCCGAAACATTCATCACGAAGTGGAGCCTGTGACCTTTTGTGCATGATCAGATTTTTCATACCAGTATGCCGGCACTGAACACTGCAGCTTGCAGGCATCTTGAATGCTCTCCAGAATGGCAAACTCAATCAGCTCTTCATTAATGCCTTCCTGCTCAAGGTCCTCCATTTCTATATAGTGGGGAAATGTGACAAGAAAGAGAGTTTGGAAAAGTAAAAATATTTTGAGCTCACGTATGCCTGTAGTTTGCATGAGTGTGCCCAGGTCTGTTAAAGGGTAACTGTATCACCACGGCTCATGCAGGAATGAGTGTCGAATGCAAACATGTTAGTGTCACACTGTCGTATATAAAAACAAATTCTCGCTTTAGATTATCTAGCAATATCCGTCCCTCACCTGTTGGTGTGAGTAAGTGTCCTTGGTTTCTCTAGCGTGTTGCCTCCATGTTTTTGTTTTGCAGGGTCCTCGGCGGTCTGTGTTATTATTAGAAGTGGCCTACTTTAACCGTCATGACTAAGCTCAGACTGTGCCGTCTGTCATTCCTTTCACTTCTCCAGCAGCTGAAACTGCCGACATTCAAATCGAATCATTTCGCCGACATGTGGATGAGACCCACGTGACAGGTTGGTGCAGTGATGCCACACTTTATACGCCGAGCACAACAGATCTGTTGTTGGCGGAGGAAAAGTCTGCACTTTTTCTTTCACTTTATTTTTTATTTTTTAGCTCTGAATGTACTAAAGTCGTACAAGCAAGACTAATATAGCTGATTAGTTTAACTACACCATTTTTTTTTCTTTTTGTCTTTTCACCATGCAGCTAAGCGGAATCTTCCAGCTCCACAGCAGTTCCACAGTCGGTGCTGACTCTTAGAAGTTATCTCTCGAAGCAAATTGATTCAACTTCCATCTCCAGATCCTCACCATGAGTAAAACTCCTGGAACCTGCTGCTGCAACTTTCTCTGGACCTCTTTGCAGCACTCAGGAAACCTTCAACAGCCACAAATATCCATTCAAAGACCCTCAACTTCACCCAAACCCAACATTTGTAATGAAACACTTAACTGCTTGGCAATCCTTCTCTTCTTTTGGGTTTGCTAGTATAGCTTGTGATTTTTTTTTAAGAAAAGTTGGTGTATAAATCATACTTACACTTAAATTTCTACACCGATTATCAAACATTAGACGCTAGCTGTCTTTTATTCAGGGGACAGATTACACCTTTGCAATGTCTGAATGTGAAAACAGCCCCAATAAACTTAAAAATCATTATTAAATTGATTAGTTATTGAGGTTACTGGAGACGTTCCTCAATATTTACAGAAGGCGTTTTAGGAAAATGGTGGAAATCATTTATCATCTTTCTAAAGTGAAGCTGCTCTCACGTTAGCCAAAGTCGACTTGTGATTCATTCACTTGTCAGCTTCTCGTGAAAACTCCTCACCTGGAAGTGCAACCTTCAGACCAAATCTTAAATTTGGTCTGAAGGTTGCATTATGTTTGCAAAATCTTACGGAGTCATATGTTAGCACAAAGATTTAATTGAAATCAAATCTTTGATTTGATTTTAAAATCAAGTTTGAGATTGTAATGGGATAAATATGGTTGCCATCTGTCCTACACTGGGGAAAAAATAATTTCTTTATAGCAAAATGTTCTTAATTAATTTCTACGTTTGAAGTCAGGTGTTCTGACTTCCTGCAACACCTAATGGCACCAACCTCCAGCAGAAGTCAGTGTTTCAGCTCGCTATGCTTCAAAACCTTTGCACACTCCTGCTAACTAATATCAATGAGCATATTCCATGACTAAATCCATTAATAGAGACACTGTCAGTCTACCACGGAGGTTAATGAATGAATAATTCACCTGGCATTAGAGTCTTTGGAGTGTAGAGGAAACTACTGTGCTCCTGAGAAAACCACGACTAGAGGACAAGCAGACAAAGTGTGCCGTCCTCAGGAAATGAAGAATTTGGTTTTCTAAATCATTTGCTTTTCCTCATTTCCTGAATCTCTCCCTTGTGACAGCTATTGATTTGGTAATGGAAATCAATTACGGATAATGGCTTTTACATGGGTCCACTTATCAGGAGGAACCATGAGCTGGATTGCGTTGCAAAACACTTGCACGTGCACACCGGGACACAGGAGCCAAATTTCTCCGGTGGATGAAAATGCAATAAACAAACAAAACCTTAATAAGTATACACGATTAAATAAAGCAAGAGACAATGCGGCCGAGCGCCTTAATTACTCCCCATCGCCCTGTTCTCACTTTCTACAAACAACAGCTTGTGGAATAACCCTGACATATTCCAAGTGAAATATTCTCGCAGGAGAACAAGCACCCACTTCTCCCGATGACCAAATTGATACGTGGGAGTTTATGGAAAAGTCTCAGACAGCGTCAGAGCGTGACATAATGACTCAGCTTGTAGGCGGCATCTCCGCCACGTCAAAAAAAAAAAAAAGACCCCACCAGTTTGTCTGATGCGAGAGCAGACTGCTGGCCCATCCTCGGGTTTCACTACTCATTTGGACATCATCGACACGCATGCAAACATGCACAGAGCTCCGAGTTCTTTCTGCAAAATACTGAATTTTACGAGGAGGATCTGAGAAACCTTGGACACTTGCTCCATATGAGGAAGAAAGTAAGTCAGTTCTTTAAACTTTCACCTGATATTTAGCACACTGTCTAACATTTGGTGCTTGTTTTTTTTATTTATTTATTTTTTATGTTTTTCTCATTCCCCTTTAGCAGCTGTTTCAGCTACTGATCATTTTTGAGGCTCAAAATGACAAAAACAGAAATGTGGCATTTTTAGTTTTGCAGAAACTGACACCTTTTTCAAAAAGAACAGAACACATAAATCAATGTGATAAATACGTCCCTACTGTAACTAAAAGCTTAAAGATTAATTTGTGAAAAATGGCAAATAATAAAGAATGCTCCTTTAGAGGATGATTTACTGTTTTAAGAACTTTGTGGTCGTGGCTCTATAATTGTGGTGCAGCTGCAGCAAGAAAAGGGGTTGCAGGGTGAAAGAATTAAAAAAATCTAATAAGAGTTTTGAGAAAATAAAAAAAATCGATAACCAAAATCTTTGACTTAGAGCTGCGATTAACTTTTTTTGTTTTGTTTCTGGAAAACAACTTAAAGAATAGATTTTATTATAACATCTTAATTCATCTGTTGCATTCATTGCCTAAAGCTGTTTAGTCCATAAACAGCAAAATAGAGGAAAATGTGGATTAGTCTGAAATATTGACATTTTAAACCTTTTTTGTTTAAAGATGAATTTAAAACTTTCAGAGGATATAGAAAGTGTGATATCCTTGTAATATTTTCATAACAATGCTTTATTTTTCTTTACGTATTTGACCAGTCCGTCAACAGTTTCTTAAAGAAAAACATTAAATAAAAAACTGTTTAAAAAAAAATGAGCGTGGGATAAAAACAGGATAATTCTGTCCAGGTTTGAATCATTTAAATATTGCTGTGTTCACACTTTCTGGCGCTAAAATCCCAAACAAACACCTTTTATGGTTTCTTAAATAGAGTAAAGGTTTCCTGTGGTTTAAAGATGCCATCCACTGGAATATCCAATGCAAACATTTACGAAATACAAAGTTTTTATAAGTAAACTACAGAAAATACGAGCCTGATTTACATTAATGACAGAATATGAGGTACAAGCATCAAGCAAGTAAGCTGGCATCACTAATTAACAATAACATGTAACCTATTAGATAATATGTCAAATGAGTTGGGGGGTATTTTTCAACAGAAAGGTCTGTCTACTAGCCATAAAGCATCATTTCTATAATTGGAGAATAATTTAGGTCAGGTTTGATCAAAGTACTTTAGATCTTAGAACTACAGTGTTCAAATCTATATTAAATTTCTTTAAAGAAATAAATAAATCATCAGTAGATCTTTACAATAGTGCAGACTAAATCAACTTCTACAGATACATTTTCTTTTTCTCGCTGTGCAAAACACAGGGAGGAGCTCCTTCACTACCGAGCGGAAATTTAAATAAAAATCACAAAACTATCAGAGAGCCTCTGCTGTGTTTATGCTCTTTGATGAAATGCCGCCCTTGGTAAAGAGCCACAGTGGCCAATAAAATCCCTCCATTCCCTTCAGAAAGGTCATCTTCAGTTTTTTGTTGTTTTGTATAACTATAATCTAAAAGCGTGCTAATGGTCAAGGAGTAAATCCAAAATATTGTTTAATATTTATGTCTTGGCTTCAGATCATCAGCACAACTTGTGTCCTCTTGGGTCTGTTTTCAAGTTTGCATCTCTGCTCTGGGAAATTTGGAACGCCAATAACTGATGATGTGAGCAAGCTGTCTGTATTGGTGAGATTATAATCCTCATATTGACAGCATCATTTGTCTGATTGCAGTATGTGTTTTGTTGTCTGACCCGGAAGCTGTTCTCTTCTGCCTCTCATTTCCGCCGCAGAAGCAGAATATCCCCTCTGATTATGAGATTCCAGTGAGTTACATTCCCAAAGAGGTGGTATGTACAACACGTCGATGAGATGCAGTGAGAAAGTTAAATAAGGAATGATGGATTTCATATTGACTGAGAAAGTTACTTATTTGTCTCCTTGGATCGCAGGCCGGCACGTGCTGGGTGGTTTTAAACATCTACCCTTTGGAGCGAAGTCTTGAAAAGCTGGCCAGCATGTTCGGAGCCATGTCATCAAACAGAGACGACATCAACATCTTCATCACGATGCTGAAGAGTTTACGCCTCACCTTTGACCATGAAGAGCTGGTGGGTAACAGGCAGCTTCACTCGATGTGTGCTCTTTTCTCGAGTGCACGCCTAATATTTTTACATTAGGTTACAAGTACAGAACAAAAAAAAACAACAGAACATTGCAAAACAACTTTAGCTCTGAGGGAGGCACCGCAGGAAGATAATGTGACTGTTTTGCACGTTTAATCGCATAAGTGAATTATTTCAGGATGGTTTGTTGACTGATCCCCCAGGAAACAGCGATGCAGGTCTCCCAGTGTCACTATCGAGAAAAGAGCTTACTCTCTGGACTTTACTTTGACTACATCCAAGACCTCTTGCGCGAGGCCACTCAAGGAACATCGAGTCTCTCTTGCAAGCCACAGCCATGCCTTGATGATCAGCAAAGAGCAGGTGCGCCATTTGTTTGCGTCTGGCAGTTTTATTCAAACGGATTCCTCGAAACCACAAAGGAGAAGAATTAGATAACACTTATTGATTTGATGTCGTACAAAAAGTGTGATGTCATGCCTGTCCACTATCTTATTTCATATGTGTAAGCATATTCAATTGCAGGTGCAATTATTCTTGTCTTGCAGAAGGTCAGGAGGAGAGTCGCAAATACAGATGGTTAAAGAGCAGCTCTTTGCTTTTGGTGCTAATCCCCTTCACAGCCTGTATTGTGCTGATAGTCTGGCGGGTAAGAAGACCTTAGACTTTCTCCTTGCAATCCTTTGTGATGATAAAAATAGGAAGGGGTCAACAGAGCTTTGGAACATGTCGTTCATTATTGACCTCTTAGGAAGTCTATAATGAAAACACAGTAGCGGAGGCTATAGAAGAGGAGCAAGTTGGAGAGGAAACCCCAGGAGAGGAGTTCAGCAAGGCTGCCCACTCTGAAGACGAACATCAACCATTTATGTTGAAATATGTATGTGTACAGTTGGAAGTGGCTGTTTTCTCTCATTTAATAATTTAAATGAGAGGTAAACATTCATGAAACGTTTGAATCCAGCATTTAAACATTTGATGAAATGAATCACATTTTAAGTACAAAATTGATATTTAAAATATTTCAGGCAACATACATGTAATGAAAGATTATACATTTAAATAAACATTTCATGTGATTAAAGTAGACAATTATATCATCAGACATTTTGCAGTAAACAGTTAATGTAAACAATCAAACCAGATGAAAGAGCCCATCTTGAAATATTTAACGTGTAATTAAATAGTTCAGAGTAAAAAATAAAGGTTATGAAATAGATCACAATTTAATATTTGTTGTATTTAACATATTTCAGGTAAGAAGTGAACGTAATGAAATAGATCCTGTCCTAGAATTTTATGTATTTGAACATTAATAATATATTTTCTTCAAGAAAATATACTATTAAAATATTGAGTATGACTTAACATTTTAATAGAGGATAGGGTGTAATAGCATGAATTAGGCTACCACTTATTTTGTGTCAGTTGGTAACAAGCCGTTTATTTACACGAGTATTTGGTAGGACTGAACCTCCTAGCGTTGAGGAGGGAGCGGTAGAGAACAGCTGGCCGAAATTAGCGTTCATAAATCGGATCAACCTTGAGCTAAACGCCCCTTATTCCGCGGAGCGCGGATATCCAACCGGAAAGCGACTTCACTGCGGTCGGTAACACAACGAAAACAAACGTTCATTTCTGTCTGCGGCCTTTAAAGATGGCGCCGAGCGAGTGCGCGAGACGTAAACGTCGTACGCAGTGACGTCAGTTGCAAAGCGCTGGAAGTCCAACTCGTGTTGTTTTAAAGTACAAGGGGGAAACAGAAATGAGAACTTAATAAAACAAAGGTAAACAAACCTTTTGGTCAACAAATAGTCCTAATGAGTCCAGAAAGTTTTTTTTTTTTTTATCAAGAAAGATTTTAAATGTTTTCAATTCGATGAATAATTGTTACATTACATTCGCTCATAAAGTCATGGAATACTGTTGGAAATGTTTCCCTATCCTAAGATGCTTACGATTCTATTAGCGTGTTAATTTTCAGATTTAACTCATACTACATCCCCACTATGTTCACGTAAACTCTCTTTTAAATTGCTTCAGTCTGTTTCAAAATGCTTTTCAGATAATTTGAACACTTCCAAGGGAAATGACTGTGAGTGGATGCTAGCTAAATGCTAACAATTGCTAGCATTGTGTTGACCAATAATAAAATATCCTACCAATATTGGTATTATAAAGTGTTTATTTGTGAACAAGTTCCTTTAGTGTTTGAATTCATAAAATTACTATTGTTGCAGTCTTATTTTACTAGTCTCCCAGTAATTAGCAAAACCGTTCCCTTTTTTCCCCAACTTGAACAATTCTATATCCAAGTTTAGACCATTATTCTTACTTTGTAGATACAGTTAAGACTGATTATTTAATGAATGTACATATTCTAAATGTATAAATTCTGAAGTTTTGAGTCAAAAACTACCTGCGAGCAGCATAAATCCGTGCATACTTGAGAATCCTTCAGAAACACTCTTAGAAAAATCTGCAAAAAGATGAACAGTGCTGCACAAATAGGCAGTAGTCCACTGTAATTTCATTCCATTCTCAGTGCAGTATGCACCAGCTATAAGAGAAAGGAAACTAGATTTTTTTTTTTTTTTTTTTTTTGCAGATAGATGGCATGTTAAATTTTTATATTACTATACTATTACTGTACATTGAAGCTATGAGTAAAAGGTTGCAATAATAACTGAGATTATACTCATCCTTACACAACCTTCTTCTGTCTACATAAGAAGGTTATGTGTAACCAGAGTTCTTTCAAAACTCTGGCTACAGTTTTAAAGAACAAAATGTTGGCAAGCAACTTTGACCTAACATGGTTATGTTTTTTGTGTGATAATTTTCAGATTTGACTCCCAACTTCCTGGGTAAATGGAGTCCAAGTTACAAACAGTAGACTGTTTAACCCTGGACCACAAAAGTGGTTTATTGCCTTTTGATGTTTTAAGACAAAAAGCTTTCTTTAAGAGGAATTATGGATGCTGAATTTCCTCCCACATTGATTTTTTTATGTGTTTGTATCTCTTCTTTGGTCAGTCTAACCCTGTGAGATTATCTGCCCACATTTCAGAGAGCATTTCCAAGAAGACGAGGCTTGTAAATCTGACTGCAGCTCATAAAATATTTAGATAGTATTTGGAGCTTTGGTAATGTCATGGCCACTTTTATGATTATCTGCTGGCTTTGCTGATGTTTGCTTGTGTGGTTTTTTTTGTATTGATTTCTACTTTTCTTTTTCCTCCGTAGGTTAAGTCTGGGAGAAACTCAATAGCGTGCAACACTTCAAATGGCCAAACCGCATCTCCTGACACGATCCCAACTGTGTCTGTCTCCATCCCACTTCAAACGCTCACCCACGCCGATGACAGCCAGCCAACGGGGGAGGCAATCTCTGAACATGAGAGTGGAACATAAGAGAGCGATAAAGCATAGAAAAATTAGTGTGGTCTGTCACTTTTCCTGCTTGAGCTCCAGAGGAGCTGAGCTGGTGTAAAGGGAAGGTGTGTTGGCAAAGGTGCCCCAGCTCTTGAGTCGACACAAGAGTTATCCTCTCAGAAACTGGCTTCCAAAGTTTAAAAAAATGGTCTTGTTTTGGCTGGTGAATCACAGCTCTTTAGCTGTTTTTTTTCTGTGAAGTTAAAAGCCTCTTTATGTCATTCAAGGTGACGTTGAGTCGCATTTGGGAACTTATCACTGGGGCTTTACATCAGTACAATACTCCACAATTCAGAGAACCTTGTTTCGAAATGGAACAACACGCATGACATGATTGTCCTTTCATTTCTATACAATCAAACATGAACTCAGAACTGCTCTTTTACTGACTTCTTTTTAAATCTTTTAAGGAGTTTATGAAAAATAAGTCCAGTCCTACAAAAGTTGTGTGAAAAGAATTCTAAAAGAACCAATACCTCTCTTGTACTTGTTGTTGATATTGTTGTGATCTGTTTTCTGTCACAAATTTTGGACCTACTAGTCACAAACAACACTCTGAGTAGTTCAACAAATGTCTAACTTTATGAATCAAAGATCTGACCAGATGGCAGATAGCCATGGCCAGAGGGCCTTTGAATCCGGTCATTGTGCTTCGAAGCTGTTGCACAGTGAACTATTGCTGCTCCTCAGCCTCTGTGAGTGTGTTGGGAGGTTTTTAATGCCTCAATTTCAGAGTCAATCAATTTCAGTCATGAGAGCATGACTCTCAAGAGTGTGAGTGCTCTTGTACTGTATGTGTCAGAGACCGGGAGCAAGAGACAGGACAGGACCAGCGAGGGAAAGTGAGGGAGATAGAGACAGACAGATAGATGAACGGATGAGCTCAGTGAAGAGCATAAGGAGGGATTGTTCTCGTCACAAAAGAGCAGGCCGTAGGCTGGAGGAAGTGCCAGTTACAAACATGACCAATGTCGACAGATCTCTATGAATCAACAGGCTAAGAATCTCTGCAGACCGCAGGCTATGTAGTTGGGTTTGCAGGGACTGGTCAGCATTTCAATAACAGTTCAAATGATTTACTTCCAAAACATTCCAATGACATGGCTTGTTCTATAGTGAAACATTTTGGATGAGGTTCAAAACCAGAAAAACTTTCACTATCTTCTCAGTGTACTATATCAATTAAGTTTATTTTTTTATTATTATTGTCCAAAATGTGTGTTTTTATGTGTTTAAGTTATTTTATTATGCTCTGAATGTCTTTCAAACGCAAATAAACTTTTTCCAACTGTTGAAACAACAAAGAGGCACATGTAAAAATATGTTTCTCTGGATATTTTTTAAAAAATCCACTTTTTTGAAAAACCTCCATGGTTTACAATGTAGAATTTATTAGATTCTAGTCAAACATGATGTAATATGAGTGGCGCGCCACTAGGTGGCGATGTTACCTTCAACTGCAGTAAAATTCAATAGAGCAAGCTCCTGATCCTTTCTTCCAAGCCTAGAGGAACCTCAGTTTTACGATTACTGTCAAATGGTGGTGGTTGACTAAGGACTGTGTGAAAACTAAGAGGGAAAAGCATGAGAACCATTTTCATGTGAGATTCCTGCTTGTATTGGTTTGAAATGCTGACTTTAGGAGAAGTCCAAACATGAAATTAAGTGACATAAAATATCCTTGTGTGATAGTCTCTAAAATATTTCTATGAGAAGGTTATGTTCCTCTTACCATAATGTGCATTTTGTGCAACTGACCCAAAATTGCAACAGCACTTCCTAATAACAGCTAAAGTCTCTGACTATCCAAATCAAATAAACATGATGAGAAACCAGGAGTATTTAAAACAGACATACAGAGTGTACATCGATGCCATATAAATGTGCTTTATGCTTTGATATCTACATATTTTCACCAAAAATAAAACAATTTTTGTGAAAAACCTATAAATAGGTCAGTATAGTTTGAGTGTAAATATGACTTTTCAGTATGAAAACCATGAAAAAGTAATAAACAGAAAGTGCAATAAGAAAAGACCGACTGTAATGCAATATTTAGAGAATGGGACACGAAATAAATACTGGAAAAAGGCAGGAAAATGTTTAATCAAATTTCAAGTGTATAGAAACACTCCTGCTACACTTTTTTGATGATGCACTCATATCTGTATGTTTATTTTCCGAATAAACATTAAATCTTGATTATGTCCGAAGCAGTGCACTATGAGGAATAGTTTGGAATTTTGTTTTGAGCCAAATTACCAGGATGCTGGGAAAATGCCGAGATCCCCCATCGCATACTCAAAGACTGTGCTTTTATTTTGAACGGGAACATCCGGCGGAAGTAGTCAGGCTTTTGTTTTGGAAGGCTGAAATCCAGTGGCCGCCATTATTCTTCGTGGCTTGACGCCCGAGATAAGACGGTTAAATAATTGTAACTATTATATTTAAGGATAGCCTGTTGTTTTATTAATTTATTTCGAGCCATCAGTCAGTTGGTTGACCCAGCCGCGCATTTTAAGGCCAGTATGGACAGACGGTCCAATACAACAGGTAAGTTGCTAAGCTAACTGTAGCTGCCGCCGAGAGTGGTGTAAAATAAGAAAATGAAGGAAGCTCCGTCTCCTGCAAGAAGGCCGTTTTCTCCTTTTCAGCGGCATTAACAAACACATGTCTGCTCCGTGTTTTGCTGGAGATGCTTAATAAGCAAGTCAGCCAACTACCAAGCTTTGGCTGCTTTGTGATTTTTGTCGTTAAAATGAAGCCATCAAAATGCGCGCTCCGCCCGGCTGTAAAGCATCTCCAGAAACGGCTTATTACGTCAGTGTGGCGGACTGATATCTGCTTGCAAAGTTTGAAGTACGACATTAGCTTGGCGCTCAATCTCTCCATCACTGCACATGCACACGCAGGCGTGCACTTTCCCCAAAAACAACTCTACACCCTGGCCACTGCTGCAGCGCCCCCTGCGGCAGCACGTGGCTTTACCTGGGAGCAGACCAAGACTAAATGGGACAAAATTCTGAATTGGAAGAAAAATTCATGTTTTTTAGGCAGTTTTTGTAAATAGAAATCTGAAAAGTGTGACGTGCATTTCGCTAAATAAATTCTGAGTCCTTTGGTAGAGCCACCTTTCAGCTGCTTGCGTTCTGGGGTGTCTCTACCAGCTTTGCAGATCTAGAGACTAAAAGTTGTGTCCATTCTTCTTTGCAAAGTAGCTAAGGCTCAATCAGATTGTATGAAAAATATAAACATCAGTTTTCAAGTCCTGCCACAAATTGTCAACTTGATCTTATGACTTCGTAAAGAAACCAAGCAAGGTGGATGCTTTATAACAATTTTTTTAAATACTTAGAGTTTGTGTCAGGAAAAGTATGTACATATTTGAAATGGATTATTTGCCAGAACCTAGATTTTCTGATTATCTTTTCATCATATATCTGTGTGGTTGTTCTCATTGCACATGTAACTCCATCACCTGTAATGTCTTTGAACAGGAGGTGCCCTTCCTTTGGCCTCCCTCCGCCTGCTGGCCTCCCCGCTGCAGCTGACCTATTCGTACATATGGCAGGTCATACGGCAGAGGAACGTGAAGCATTACGGCAAAGTGGAGGAGTTTGTGACCATGGTGACGCAGATTGTTCCTGAGCTTCTGAGTTTCAAGCAGACAGCGCAACTTATCCTGGGGTTGAGAGCAAGGGTGAGTTTTTTTTTTCATGCCTACAATAGAACTCTCAGATTATTTGTTTTCTCACCACTCTTATATTTCTATTTCTGTTCAATCACTTAGATAATCTTGGACCTGCTTCAGAATGACGGCCCACCAGATTCCAAGACTATTCAGACTCTAATAAATAAGTTAAAGATAACATCCTCAGCGGTATGCATGCAACTTATATATGCTGTGTATTCCAACTAAACACAGTATACCAGGATAATGTGGCATGAATAAAATCTGACTTTTTTTACCTTAGAAGGACATAGAGGTGGAGAAATCCCAGACAAACTTTATGGTTCTGATCCAGAATCTGCTTAAAAATCCCACTGAGAGGAAACGGTTCTTTCAGGTATGACTTGATGTGTGTTGGAACTTTTTATTTTTTTATTCTTATTATTATCTCTTGTCTATTTTGTCTAGTTCTATTGCATGCTTGATTGACACTTGAAACATCTTTTGCAGGAAATGTTCCCTGTTCAGTACGGCGTCAAGTTTGACACGGCCCTGCAAGCCTTGATTGCTGGCCTGGTGTGCAAACTGGAGCAACTTCTTCCCGTTCCCAATCTGTCTCAAGTATGCACACCTAGCATCTCAGCAATTTACCCTCTGCATTTAACTTTTTTTTAATGAATCAGAATTGCAATAGACCAAATCTGCAAGAGCGTACAGAAAAATTACAACAATACAGTTTGTCCTGAAAATGTACAAATAACTTTCACTTCTTGGTGCTCCTGCTGTAGCTTGGTGCCATGATCTCAACGGATGCAACTGTTCTTGACGCATGTGGGGGGTTCATCCCTGATCGTGGCGATCTAAAGACTCTTCTGCAGCACCATCAGACCAAAGGACTCCTTGGTGTGAAAGGTATATTTTTTCAAAGTTGTGATGTTGTGATATAAACTAATATAATGTAGTAAATTGTTTTTGATTGGAAGAAAGGGGTTACATAGTTTTCAAACATTAGAGTTTATCCCTGTAATGTAAATGTGATTTTTTTTTTTTTTTAAAGGGTATAAAACATTTTTAATTCATTTTGTTGCTGATTTTGGTGACAAAGAAGACACTTTTTAGGATAAATAATGACTTATTGTATTTTCTTGGTTGTTTTTGTTTTCTGCAGCAACTGTCTCGACTTCAGTGGGCGACTGTGTGCTCTCCTCTCTGGCTTTTATGCCCAAACCAGTAGAAACACCGCCCTCCCCCTCCGCCTCCACCACCACCACAGCAACAGCCACAAAAGCAACCAGAGATTGCAGCCATGGAAAGCAGCCCTGCCTCTCTCAGTGACAGCGAAGATGTCGGAGGTCTTTCAGATGACGTTTCGAGCCCGGCACCCTCCGTTGATGCACCTCAGCCAGAAGGGCCAACAGGCGACAAAACAGCTGATGGAAACGGAGCAAAGGAAAAGGATGTCACAGCAACAGTGCAAAACCAGCCGGAAAAAAGTTCTGAACAGCAGCAGCAGGTGGCAACAACTCCTCAAGGAGAAAAGAAGGACGGAACACCAGCAGTGTCAGAGAAACCAGAGTTACAGCAGCTGCCTCTGAAATCAATTCCTTTCAGGGTTGTTCAAGTGCCCGTCAAGCCTTCTTCCACGTTAGCGAAAGACAACCAAAAGCCTCAAACCCATCGAGTCACTTTACATCAATGGGTGTCACAGATCGCCACAAACTCCATGTCTCTCCCAGCATTGCCGCCCCTTCCTCCTGGGAGACTGAGCGACGATGATGACGACCCCAGGCCGAGCATCAGACGGAAGAAGCAGTTGAGGCACCTGATTGATCGGTTCACCTGCACCGTGTGCGATAAGAGCTTCCCCTACCAGTCCAAGCTGATGGACCACGAGCGCATTCACACAGGCGAGAAGCCCTTTCAGTGCTCGGCGTGCAACAAGAGCTTCCGCACGCAGGCATTCCTCAACAACCATCTGAAGACGCACAGCACGATGCGGCCCTACGCCTGCGGCCAATGCGGCAAGTGTTTCGCCAAACTGCAGACCCTGACGAAACACATCCTCGCCCACAGCGGACAGAAGCCTTTCTACTGCAACATCTGTAATAAGGGCTTCACGCAGTCCACCTACTTCAAGCGGCACATGGAATGTCACACGAGCCAGATGACGTTCCCTTGCAAACACTGCAGCAAAACCTTCCCGACAGCATTCAAACTCTCCAACCACGAGCGCTGGCATACCCGGGATCGCCCACACATGTGCGAGCGCTGCGGGAAGCGTTTCCTGGTCCCCAGTTTGTTGAAGAGACACATGGGCTACCACATCGGTGAACGGCAGTACCTCTGTTCCCAATGCGGGAAGACATTCGTGTACCTGTCCGACCTGAAGAGGCACCAACACGACCACCTGCCTAAAACGAAGATCCCATGCCCCGTCTGCCAGAAGAAGTTTTCCAGCAAGTACTGCCTGCGAGTTCATCTGAGGATCCACACCAGAGAGAGACCCTACCGATGCCCCCTGTGCGACAAGAGCTTCACGCAGGTTGGAAACCTGAAGGTCCATATCCGGCTGCACACCAACGAGCGCCCTTTCAACTGCGACG